ACCAGCCATTCTACTATCCCGCACTTTTGAACCAGTTCTCAAATACGACGCTTTCTGGAGCATCGATGATATTTAATCATTTTTCTATACCCGTTGCACGAACGACGTATGAACGTATACCAGTACTGGTCAGAGACTACTATACGGAAAGTGGAAAGCAATCGATAATTTCTTGCACGTGGAATGGACATGTATTCCACGAATACGGACTTGTTCGATTCAGACCGATCCCACATGTTCCTTCTTGGATTGTTTTTGCTCGAAAAGTCTCCATCACGCTATTATCGGTTAAACTATAATTGCATCGTGTTAAAAGATCCATTTTTTGATAAAACCTCGATATTTTGGCGCACTTTTGAAAGTTCATATAAAAAAGTTTCTAATATTTCTCTAGCATAACACTTTCGTTTCGTTTTTTAAAATTTCTCCCCAATTTTTACTTTTCTTACGAAAAAGCTACGTTAACCCTCGATCTTTCGTATATATGCTCCCAACCATACGTATTAGTTTCCATGCTTTGTCCTCCGAACGAATGACTATGAAATTTGGTACATTATTTCCTTCATCTTTAGAGATTTCATCAAACTCCCGAGATAGTACTTGCGATGCAACAATGCGAATTTAAATCGACCTTTTGTCTGGACCGGGTCGAGAAAACGAATTCGAAAAGACGCGTTTAGGGAACGCTAAACCCTCTTTGCACTCGGCAACAGAATAGATCTTTCTGGTAGTCTGTGCATCGTCAGCTTGTTTTCCTTTCTCCCTGAAGCTGGGTAAACATCAGGGGAAAATAGAAATCGCTACCATTAATGATTCATCCCGAATACCGTTCGATTACTCTTGTTTAAGTCTATTTAAATCCCTATCGTATCCCTCTTGCTTACCGATTCGACCCTTCCAACGGAGAGCAGATTTTTCGAATGGCTGGTTAGTCAAAGAATTCCGATTCTTCTAATCGTTCGAAGATATAAACTGGTTGAACACCGAGCGATGAATATTCATGATCTATAATTATACCTCCTCCACTTTTACTCGACGCTTAACCATTTCCTCGTTTTACCAACCGAATATGACATCTTATATTTTAACCGAGTTCAAATTTGTGAACATCTTAACAAGGATCTTTTTTTGAACTGCATTTTTCAACTGGGAAAGGAAGGAATAGGCTTGAAACGTATAGGTGGAATTTAAACAGGATATTTATCAGTGTACCCAGCTAATTGCGTCTTTCCATCTTATAATATATTTAGTATCTACATACACCAAAATCAGCTATTAACTACTATTAGAATGGTTTATTTGCTAACATTGAATCTTAAATAGCAGCCTAACATATACCTTCCAAAATAAGGCATTATTAAACAGGCTGTACTCATAACAAATATACCAAGTTAACCCTAAGCTTACATCCAAATCTGTAAAACAAACATGATCATATTAACCATGCATGTAAGCATATGAAGTAGCAGAAAGTATAAAAAGAGAAAAGCAAAAATGGAAAAAGAGAAGAGTTGAAAGAAGAAAAAATGCCACGAAAGCACATATAGGGAGCCACGAAAAAGGTGTATCAGTCGTGCCAAACGGCGTGTCCTCGACCAATCGTTATACGTCTCCATCGCGAAGCCTGTAACGCAATGCTGTCGTGTGACAATCAAGGTGAAGGACTGCGACGAGGCCGACAAAGTCTCGGTGGCGTGCACGGCGACAAAATCGGACGCGGAAGATAGCCGGAAAGGATCGACGACCGCCGCGTCAGTGTGTAACGACGAGGAGAACTCTGGTGCTCGGCAGAAGAAGAAGAAACGTCGGAAAACGAGGAAGAAACAGCAGTTACAGCTACAGCAGCTGCCGCAGGAAGTACCCACGGATAGCCAGCGAGTGCACTCGGTGGTGAATTTGCCATCGTCTTTGGACGAAGTCGAAGCGGTCGGTGAATGCTCTAAAAGAGACTCATCCAGTAGCTTAGGTGGCGCGAGCAGACACAACACCCTTCGGGAATCGTTGCTCACCGTACTAGGCAAGCTGGTAATCTGGAAAGGCACTAGGTACCGCTCGGCTACGGCTGCGTCTTCTTCATCCTTGGCGCCACCAAATTCGCCACCTGCGACCGAGTGCATAGGCCGTAGCACTTCCTTTTTTTCCAGCGGTGAGTTTACCCTTGCGAATTTTTATTGTCCACATTTGGTGCCACATTGTTCCTGAATGGAAGAGAAAAATACAACTGGTTATATCAGTGCTGTATAAGTCCTATTTGAGAATAAAGCGGCCTTCCCCCACTCTCGCGTACTACCTCCTGCTTTAAGATCGAGATAGAAAAAGATGGAAATCGCGTTAGATCAGTTCCCTTTCTGAACCGTCTTTTTCTCGTGGTGGGGGAAAGAGCTGCGTAAGAGGCGCCACCTGTGGACAGCATTAGATTAGATACATGATGGAAGATTGTTTACATGAGCTTTTTTTATTTTTTAAGGATCAGAAATGTCTTTGAATTTCCTTTTTATCATCCAGTTTCAAATCGGTATGTGTCTGTTGGAAATTTTATACTATTTGGACTGAAATTTGATTTTAGGCACTTTTGGAAAATGGTTTCAAAGATTATGTAAATTTTATGGCTGCTCTTATCGAATAGCTACGAAGGTATGGAGGGAGAACTAGAAATTTCACCTTAAATATTTTCGACATTATGTAAGAGAAATCTTTGGATTAGACGTTTGATATGTGCAAGCCATTCCGTTTGCGAAAAAGTGATTGCGACCATATGGTACGATCCCTTTATATGAAATTTGAAAAATTATTTAATGGTGTTTATTTTTTAAGGTTAAAATTTTAATTGGTCCATGCTGTATAACGTCATCGAATTAATGCTAATTCGAAAAAATAAGTTGAAAATGTAGAATGACATTCTCTTTTATACGAAGTTCTGCTTTCGAGTAAATCGATGCTGAAGATTCATTCAAGTACGCGTGCACTTAAGCGTGACCTCACTGGTGCCTCGGTCTAATGGACATCGCTCTGCACTACTTATATTGCCGTTCCTGTTTACGATATTAAACAATAATAAGGGTGAACAATAAAATAAAAATGCTCTTCCTCAAGAGCTGCTTTTTTATTGGTATAAAAACTATTAAAAATAACTTGTTTCTTTCGTCGATATAATTATGTTCAACGTACAAGACTTATATAAAGATATTCGATGAATTTTCAATATCAATACACTTCGTAACAAAGCCTCGTATTAAAAAATAGCACTCTACATTTTCACTTTGATTATTTTTGGTATAATATCATTATTTTCTTTTCTTTTTCTTTTTTTAGATCACACTACCAGTTCAGTATTCACATTATGAATATTGAGAATGCGGGTAGCTGAGGATTTAAAGATTTTTTTCTTTTTATGGCAGAGTGAAATGTACGTGTTATGTAATTGGTAGAATGAGGTCGTTATTGTGACTGCAGTAAAACGTAGAGTAAAATAATGCATACATTCCACAAACATTTTATTCGGTATCACTCATTTTTTTTATATTTTTGAAATTTCGCCAATATAATTAAGTTTTCCCGGAATATTTCAGACTATTAGTATCGAAAATCTGTATCGTGGAAATTTAAAAAGAGTAAAAAGAAGAAGAAGCGTAATCCTGTTATCTCTCTCTCTCTCTCTCTCTCTCTAAAAAAAAAAAAAAATTAGTGAACAGTATTGTAAAATATTTGTAATAAAAGTAGGACAAAATATACACGTTGATTAAATATTAATGCAGCAATAATATAGTGGTCTAGATGCAGTATCAACATGTTCTTACACTTTTGATAAAATACAGCGTTAACGAAATGTAACAAAATGTCGAAATTATTTTCCATAAACGACACTATTTATCTTTGAAATCTCCGACAAGAGATTTATTCTAGATATTAAATTTTATAATCTGAAATACGAAACAATATTTTGTATAAAGTGTCTTACGATATTTCCAAGAATTTGTTTAAATTATCATTTAATTACAAATTGTATTTGATCTGTACCTTTGTATTGGATATTTCCTATTGTAATTTCGTAGTAATATAATAAGATTGCGTGGGTTACGGAACAAAGGAACAACATTTGTACATTTTAGCATACATTTTGATGAAACTCTTACGCTGATGTATGGATGTCGGGTAAAAACTGTTACATGTTACTCAACCCTGTTGTTCCTACGTAATCTTGTAATCAATTTTTTGTTTGGAAAATGCAATCTGCGATACGTAATGTACTTGACCGTGTCTCGTATGTGTAGGACAAATGAATTCGTGTTAATGGTTTCGATTCAGCGATTCGTGTATTTAATTTTAATTGCACGTATGTGCGACCCGAACTTCCTATTTCGTTAATTATTCGACTTCTTGATATAAATATAAACAGCAGTTAGGCAACAAAATTATCGCAGCAGTGTTTCAGTATCGTAAATTCCGTTTTTATCATTTTAATCTTGCTTTTCCGCATTACGTTACTGAAATATTTATAAGGGATTGAAATTTGCACGTTTTATTTATTTCCTTCTATTAAACCATTGTATTCGATTTCCTTCCTTTTTCTTCTCGCTGAATTTATGTGCTGCGGGCAATAAAACAATGTACATGTCTAAGTTATATCACGATTTAATGAAATCTTTTTTGCCAATTTATTATTAACAAGTTTCATTAATAACTTTCTTCAGTTATTATTACTCGTTATCACTGATCTCTTATCCATTACTTTTGGTGACTTTTATAAGTATATTCTACTTTCGTTTCAGTAACAAATTATAAGCTGATTAATTATTAGCGTCAGCAAACGACATAAATTGGTGATTGTAAAATTTTGTAACGAAAAGAAAGCAGATTTAGGTGCTTAAAGTAATACAAGAAGAAAATAGCAGAGAATACCGTTTAATGAGAATCATTGAGTATTTTTATAGAAAGATTCACGTGTAATTTGATGATCTTACAATTATCGTAATTCAATACCGTTTTTTCTTCTTTTTCAGAAACGGAGAGGAGAATTCGCGCCAATAATCGCGAGTTCAACTCACAGTTTAATTATGCGGTAAGATCGAGATACGATCTTGTAATTCCTTTTTCCATGCAATAATTAAAGCCCGAAGTAGAGGCATTAATAATGACGAGACGCGTTTCATTTTTTTCTTCCAGAACAACTACATCAAGACGTCCAAGTATTCGGTTCTGACGTTCCTACCGTTAAATTTGTTCGAGCAATTTCAGCGGCTCGCTAACTTTTACTTCCTATGTCTGCTGGTGCTTCAGATGATCCCCGCTATCTCCTCCTTGACCCCCATCACTACAGCCATACCCCTTATAGGGGTGCTCATGCTCACTGCCGTCAAAGATGCCTACGATGATTTTGTAAGTGTGGAAAAATAGCGAAATTACTTTTATAAATATAGTATAAAACACATATGTAGAGCTTTAAGAACATTCAATTTCTTTTTTAGCAACGGCACAACAGTGACTCGCAAGTGAACAATCGAAAATCTCAAACGTTGCGAGGCACTAGTCTCCGAGAGGAGAAATGGTCGCAAGTGCAAGTAGGTGATGTAATTAGAATGGAAAATGATCAATTCGTTGCAGCCGACGTGCTTCTTTTATCTACTAGTGAGCCAAATGGTCTTTGTTATATTGAAACCGCAGAATTAGATGGGTTAGTAATATACCGTTTGCGTATATTTATTAATTGTAAAGCTGGGAAATTTTTTAGTGCGGTAAACTCGCCCTCGAAATCATAAATGCAATACACCTGTTCCATGTTGGAAGGGAGAAAAAATAGCAATAAGAAAATGATAATGCATTTGAATGTTTTAGGGAAACGAATTTGAAGTGTCGGCAGTGTTTAGCTGAAACTGCCGAAATGATGGATAATCACGAATTGATTGGTCAATTTGATGGAGAAATTGTTTGCGAAACTCCTAATAATTTGTTAAATAAATTTGATGGTACTCTTACGTGGAAAGGACGAAAGTAAGTATCTGCCTTTTCTTCATTTTCTCTGTATACAAAATCACACAGGAATAATACTGTTTCATGTATAATATATTACAGATATCCATTGGACAACGACAAAATTATATTACGAGGTTGCGTGCTCCGAAACACGCAATGGTGCTATGGTGTGGTCATCTTTGCAGGCAAGGATACCAAATTGATGCAAAACTCAGGGAAGACCAAATTTAAGAGGACTTCTATAGATAGACTGCTGAATCTTCTCATCATCGGGATAGTGTTCTTTTTACTTTCTATGTGTTTGTTCTGTATGATTGGCTGTGGTATTTGGGAGAGTCTTGTCGGTCGTTATTTTCAAGTGTATCTACCTTGGGACTCGTTGGTGCCTAGCGAGCCTATGGGAGGTGCTACAGTGATCGCTCTACTTGTGTTCTTTTCTTATGCTATCGTATTGAACACAGTGGTCCCAATCAGTTTATACGTGAGTGTAGAAGTTATCAGATTCGTTCAATCGTTTTTGATCAACTGGGATGAAGAGATGTACCATGCGCCTACGAACACACACGCTAAAGCAAGGACTACTACATTAAATGAAGAGTTGGGACAAATAGAATATATATTTTCCGACAAAACCGGAACATTGACACAGAATATCATGACTTTTAATAAGTGTTCTGTGGCAGGAAAATCTTACGGGGATGTTATCGACGAAGTTACCGGCGAAGTCGTCGATTTAAGTGAGGTGAGTCTGTTTATCTCTATATCCATAACCAGACTCGATGCGGATGATGGGGTACGTTATTATCAGCTTGTTTGTTGTATTATGAAATTTATAGCTCTTTTTTGTTTTTAATATTTTGTACACGTAAATTTTTGTTATTGCAACGAAACATACTATGACTTCTAACTTTCATTGCATCGATGTTGTTTTGAGTTTTTCCATCATGTATACGTTTTACATTAAGAAATACAGATAATTTACTGATTTGGAATGACAAGTTTCTTTTTCAAAAAATATTTTTGTTTGAATATTAAGTATTTGTTGTATTTTTAAATCACGAATAATTATATTTAATAAATTTAAATCATTTAGCATAAAAATATCCACACATCAGCTTCATACATTTCATATTTGTCATCAAGAAAGAATATGATGGTTCAAAAATTTCAACATTGTAAATTCAAATTTTAATGAAGTAATATAGTATTTAAAATTTCAGTAAAAATGGGAATTTTATTTACTTCACGTAGTAACATAATTGTCAATAAATAAAATTTAGTCATTTCTTCTTGGTAACAAAATGTAAACAATAGAATCATTTCACAGTTTGGCCATATTTTGCATAAGTTTTCATGTACATCACTTAGCATGTGTGTGCTGCATGTAGACGGACAAAGCTGCCCGAACACCTACGATGCGATGGAAAAATGGACAAGAATTTGTTCAAGTTTATACATCTATAACTGGTCCAAACGTACGTCTACTGGAACAGGTGGATAGGATATCCAATATAATTGGAGAGCCAGGCACCAATGGCAGTCCGATGGTTCCACATAAACTTTCTGTACGCATGTTAATAATTAACACACCTCTTTCACAAACAAAAAAAGTTTTATGCACTACTCAACCTGTCTTTTTCTGCTCTTGTCCTATTTGTATGCTATTATATTTAAAAACCTGTTATTGTACATTTTATGAGGGAGTATCAAATATACAAAGTTTAACAAATGTTTTGGGTATACGAATATATAATGATTAGTAACTGTTGCTTTTTAATTGTTGTCTACATTGTACAATATATTAGATGCATGCTGCATAGTACTTTACTTTTGTTTACACATAGATTTTAGTACTCCTAAATTGCTTAAACCTTCAACACTAATTTTCACAATGCTTTAAAGGAATTATAAAATTATAACATCTCATATGTGCCTGCTGACTTACAACAAATCTATTTATATGGAGGCAAGGTATTTACTTTAATTTCTAGTACTTCCATTTTCACATACTATCTCTCGTGTATCATACTAACACATAACATAATATAAAAAATTGTTTCTAAATGTAATTTAATATACATTTGCAGACTACACCACCACTGGATTTCTCATTCAACAAGGATTATGAGCCGGAATTCAAGTTTTATGATTCTGCATTGCTCGAAGCTGTAAGAAGGAATAATGAAGATGTTCATAGTTTCTTTCGATTGTTGGCACTTTGTCATACTGTTATGCCGGAAGAAAAAAACGGCAAATTGGAGTATCAAGCACAATCACCAGATGAGGCAGCCCTTGTATCCGCAGCTAGAAATTTTGGTTTCGTATTCAAAGAAAGGTCTCCAAATAGTATAACAATCGAAGTTATGGGGAAACGTGAAATATATGAGTTACTTTGCATTTTGGACTTTAATAATGTTAGGAAGAGAATGTCAGTAATTTTGAGGAAGGATGGGCACCTTAGGTTATATTGTAAAGGAGCGGATAACGTTATTTATGAACGGTTAAAAAAGGGAAGTGAAGATATCATGACGAAAACATTGGATCATCTTAATAAATTCGCGGGTGAAGGTTTAAGGACATTGTGCCTTTCAGTCAGAGATTTAGATGAACAATTTTTCAATGACTGGAAGCAACGTCATCAAGAAGCTGCCATGAGTCAAGAAAATAGGGATGATAAATTGGATGCAATTTATGAAGAAATAGAAAAAGATATGACATTATTAGGCGCTACTGCTATTGAAGATAAATTGCAAGATGGTGTACCTCAGACTATTGCTAATTTAGCTCTGGCTGGTATCAAGATTTGGGTATTAACTGGTGACAAACAAGGTAGAGACGTACACTTCATTTTTTAAAGTTGTATATAATATAAATAAGCTATACATATATAATTAAACAATATGTACAGCTTAAGATGTAAATAGATATTTATGTTGTTTTATTCTTTATACAGAAACAGCTATCAATATTGGCTATTCCTGCCAATTGCTGACAGATGATCTTACAGATGTTTTTATAGTAGATTCCACTACTTATGATGGTGTTGAAAATCAGTTATCGCGATACCTGGAAACCATTAAAACAACCTCTGGTCATCAAAATCGGCCAACTCTCTCCGTTGTCACATTCAGGTGGGACAAGGAAAGGTCAGGCACATGAAAGAGACGGAGTACCAATCATTAACCTTTTCCATACCTCAATCTGACTAATTAACGCATTTATTTTAAAAGTTTCTCTTTCATATTGAATGTGGCATCATGTTCTGTGTAATGCTTTCTTCGTTTGGTTATGCCTAAGAATTTCAAAATATTTCAAATTCAGATTTTTTACCTTCAACATTAAGTTAAGGTAATGAGATTCGAAGTTCAAACACCATATTGTTTTATAAAAAATTGTTGATCACGAACTTTGCAATTTCAATAATATTCCCATTAACAAGTATTGATGAATTTAAATATATTTTAGCATGCAATGATTATGATATTACAAAGATATTGATAAGTTAAACTGCACCAATACGTTATTTTACTTTAATATTATATATATGCAACAATATAAATTTTATCATATTTAAATTCAAGTAAGTTTTTATAAGATACTCAACTATAAATAGTTAAATACATATTTGCATGCAAGTTTTAAAATATTTATACATATACAAAATTCTATGTGATATTAATTATTTTCTTATTCAAGCTTTTTTTTGTTATTATTGAAAGGATATTGATCTTGTACTTATTGATCATTTTATTTATAATGTAGATATTTTAGTACATAGTAAATTAGGTATTAGTATTTCTTCTCAAGAACTACAATTTTTATTTTATGCTTTCTCAATATCCTGTGATTATGTATTGTATTATTTTCTTAAATACTATAATTTTTGTTTTACATCTTTTCAGTATTCTAAGATTATGTATTGTATTTTTTTTTTAAATACTATAATTTTTGTTTTTATTCTTTCTCAATATTCTATGATATGTATTAACATTAATTAGTCGAAATGAATAATGATAATTATCATGTGCTTGAAACTCACTCCTTCTCTTTCTGTATGCTTAAAATTAATCTTAGTAATAATAATAATAACAACAACAACAATAATAAAAATGATAATAATTATAACAACTACAACACAAAATATATATTGCTTATGTCACTTTATTATATTAGTAGTTCATGATACAGTGCACTGTGTGTATTGTTTCTGATTAATGCGCATCATCTTTTTATTCAATGAGACAAATTAAATTACCTTTCTTTTCCTCAGCAAGTAATTCAATATTGCATTTTATTATTGGTTAAGTCCAATCAAAATTTATTAACTTTGAAAGAAATAATACTTGACTTTAAGAAAGTATTGTTAATATATGTCATATTTTATTCTAAAATCAGTTTGTTTTATTTGAACATTATGTTTCCCATATGTAGCAGTGATACTGAATACAATCCTAGCAGAGATGAACAAGATGAACATGAAATGGAACAAGCAACGGGATTTGCGGTAGTTATTAATGGACATTCCTTAGTTCATGCATTACATCCACAACTCGAGCAACTTTTTCTTGAAGTATCAAGCCGATGTAAGTTTCATTTATAAATTTTTATTTTTGTGCGAATAATTATTTAACGTCATATATTATAAATTTCCAGGTAAAGCTGTAATATGCTGTCGCGTGACTCCTTTACAGAAAGCAATGGTAGTCGAATTGATAAAGAAAAATAAAAATGCTGTAACTTTGGCAATTGGTGATGGGGCTAATGATGTTTCAATGATAAAAACAGCTCATATAGGCGTTGGTATCAGCGGGCAAGAGGGATTGCAAGCTGTTCTAGCATCTGATTATTCGATAGGACAATTTAGATTTTTGGAAAGATTACTTCTTGTTCATGGCAGATGGTCATATTATAGAATGAGTAAATTTCTTAGATATTTTTTTTACAAGAATTTTGCGTTTACATTATGCCACATTTGGTTTGCCTTTTTCTGTGGATTTAGCGCACAGGTATGCATTTATATTATTAGTATTATTTATTACCTTTATTTAACGACATATGCTATATTGTTATAAAGTGATGAAACTAAGGCGAATGTGATGTACAAAATTTCTTTGTTGAGCAATTGGTTCCAAAGTTAAATATTGTAGAAAGGAACGGACTTTCGATTGATTCTGATTTTCAAATATTTATAATAAAACTTTAATTTAAGAATAAATTTCTTACATAGTCTTATAAATGTATATTTTTTGCAGACGGTATTTGATCCTATGTATATTTCTGTGTATAATCTCTTTTATACGTCATTACCCGTAATGGCAGTTGGTATATTTGATCAAGATGTTAATGATAAACATAGTTTAATGTACCCAAAACTTTATGCACCCGGATTACAAAATTTACTTTTTAATAAGAAGGAATTTTGCTGGAGTGCCATACATGGGTTTTTTGCTAGTTGTGTATTATTTTTAGTTCCATATGGTAAGCTTTAGTAATCATTTTGCATGTATCACAACTAAAACATACAAAAATTAAAATTGTACTAATTTATTTTTAGGAACATATAAGGATGGAGTATCACCAAAGGGCCATGTACTTTCTGATCATATGTTACTGGGAAGTGTTGTTGCAACTATATTAGTCATAGTTGTGACTGTCCAAATAGCCCTTGATACATCATATTGGACGATTGTTAATCATATTATGGTTTGGGGCTCGCTCATTTGGTATTTTGTTTTAGATTATTTCTATAACTTTGTCATAGGTGGTAGTTATGTTGGCAGTCTTACAATGGTATGTTATCTTGCCGCAATAATATTGTAATAATATAAATAAAACACAAAAATTAGACACAATATTAATGCTTAGGCACCCAATTTTAGGCAATGTCTGAAGCAACGTTTTGGTTCACGGCAGTCATTTCGTGTATCATATTAGTAATACCTGTACTATCGTGGAGATTCTTCTTCATAGATGTTAGGCCAACATTGTCTGACAGAGTTAGACTTAAACAAAGGTTGGCACAACTTCGCTCTCGCCAAAGTCAAGACATACTTCGTACACCGTCTACGAGACGGACACGAAGATCACTTCGTTCAGGATACGCTTTCGCACATCAAGAAGGTTTTGGTAAACTTATTACATCTGGCAAAATTATGCGAAAATTACCGAATGGTGCAGATTTTAAATTTGCAATGCCATTTACGAACAATACCAGCAAACAAGTTAGTGTTGCCACTACGTCACCAAAGGACAATGCATCAAAAAATTCGCACACATTGGATACTATTAATTTATAATTTGGACATTGTATTGTAAGTCTTTCCACTATCTATTAAACTTGAGATGAATGATTTGCAAAATTGCATAGCAACATTAATATGAAAAAGCGATTAAAATATTAACAAATGAATTTTTTTAATTTAGAACCAGTTGAATTTTCTAAATACAATATTAGGTCATGAAGTCTCATTGTATCTGCGATTTGTTCTTACTACATATAACACACAGAAATTATGTATTTATGTATATTGCAACAACTAAAAAAATATTTGCTAGTTTATTAGATTCAACTTTTTGTATCAGTGCTTAAAAAATTTACGTAATCGAATTTCATATGACAATAAAGTATTGTTATCGTTTGCATAAGAAATTTTACATACTAGTATCTACTAAAGATTATCATCTTTTTTTTTCACCAAAAATTATTGTTAATTAAAAATCATTTTAATACAATGTATCTTTTATATCGATCATTATTCTAGACTCTTACGAAAATTTTTAAACACGAATATATTTTTGAATGCATGTTTGTAAATTTTTTAATTTATATATTTTTTTTTATACATATATATTTACTCAAGAGGAAATTTTAAGATTGAGTTTTCTGAAGTAGAAATAAAATTAAATAGCAGTTCTTTCACAAATTACTATTTTTTGCTTGTATAAAAATGATATATTTATGAAATTATTCTAATTTGTTACATGAGATTACATGTAATATTCTAATATTACATAAAGTTTATATTATTAAGAGTCTGGAATAAAAAAGATCTCAAATTGAAAGAAATCATCGAGCTATAATAATGACTTCTGTTAAATTTTAAACAGTGCACATTTAGAAAAAAGCACAGGTTAATTTATGATTATACAGTTTTTGTTTTGTATACTAAGAAAAAAGAGTTACAAAATTTTTGAGACTGTTATGACATAAAAACTGCTATTATATATATTTGCTATTTATGGTATTGGTTCAGGCTTTGATTGACATTAATAAGTTTTCTGTTATTTACTAATGTGTTGTCTGATTAAAGATGTTAATTTAATAAGATCTACAATAGTAATAGATCAGTGTCATCTTGCATGTTATATTTGGAATATTTTTAAAAATATACTTCCAAATCTAACATGTCAATGAGAATTCTTATAAACAATTGAAACTTTCTTCTAAACAAATATGTTTTATTTAAAGATTATCATAAAGATATAACACAATAATAGGATAAATTATGATTTATATGATCATGACACTCCCTGTGTACATATGTGTAGAGGTGTCAAAAATCATATAATATCCCTACCTGTATTATATATTGTCCTAGTATGAACATAAAACATGTTTACACAATACATATATCACATAAGAATTATAGTTATGATAATTGCCTTTATAAAATATGAATACAAGAAACAATTAAAATTACTGTATCATAACATTGACTGTAAATATTTTAAAGATATGTGTATATATATATATATATATATATAT